AACCTATCCCTTCCCCCACTCACCCCAACATCCCAGCCCCCAACCCACTCCCCAACCCCCACTCACCCCAACATCCCGGCCCCCAACCTACCCCCATCCCCACTCACCCCAATATTCCGTCCCCCAACCTATCCCTTCCCCCACTCACCCCAACATCCCAGCCCCCAACCTACCCCTGTCCCCCACTCGCCCCAATATCCCATCCCGCAACCTACTCCCATCCCCCCCTCACCCCAATATCCCAGCCCCCAACCTATCCCCAGCCCCCACTCACCCCAACATCCTGGCCCCTAACCTGCCCCTCCCCAGCGCCCTGCAGCCTCCTGGCCCCTCTCTAGCGCCCTCTGCAGGGTCTGGCTGCCGGCTCCCACCCCGTCTGGCTAGGCCGCTGCCCCTGGCACGACTGCCTGGCTCCTGCCAGCGCTCTGCCATGGCCGTGTCCCCCCAGGTGCCCGGCGCCCCTGGCACCATGTTCTCGGAGGAGCGGAAGGAGGGCAGCCCCCGCTTCGGGAAACTCCACTTCCCCGTCGGCCTATGGATCAACTCGCCCAAGAAACACTTCGTCAAGATGAGCCGCCGCTGGCCCAGTGTGGGCTCCGTCAGGTACCAGCCCCCTCCCTCCTGCCCCCTGGAAGAGCCCCCCCCCTGCCCCCTGGAACGGCCCCCATCCCTCCTGCCCTCCGGACCGCCCCACAGCCCTGGTATCTGGCCTCCTGGATCAGCCCCATGGGCCCAACTACCCCAGTATCCAGGCCCTTCCCACCCCCTGGAGCAGCCCCACAGGCCCAACTACCCTGGTATCCTGCCCCCAGATCAGACCTATGGGCTCATCTATCCCAGTATCCCTCCCTCTCCCTGCCCCCAAATCACACCCACAGGCCCATCTATCTCAGTATCTTGCCTCCTTCCCGTCCCCGCAGTCAATCCATGGGCTCATCTCCCCAATATCGCCCCCTCCCTGTCCCCCCTAGGCCAGCCCCACAGACCCCTCTAGCCCACACTCCCAGCCTCCCTCGTCCGCTCAGAGCAATGGGCCCATTTAACCCGGCCTCCCGCCTTCCCTCCCCAGGTCCACCTCCTCGGACACCGCCAGCCGGGGCAGCGAGACGGTGGAGCTGCGTCCCGCCGGCAAGGCGAAGGCGGGCCGCCACAAGCGCCTCTCCAACCTGTTCCACCGCAGCACCAGCAGTGGGGCGGGCGTGGGGGGCGGGCGCTGGGGCAGCGAGAAGAAGCTGGCGGATCTCATCGACCCGGTGCCCGAGGACCTGGTGGAGCTGTCCAGCCAGCCCCAGCTGCCGGGCATCCTGAAGATCTTCGGGGGAGCCATCTCCCGGGGCGCCAACTACAAGAGCGTGCTGGCCACGCCACGCTCCACGGCGCGCCAGCTGGTGCGGGAGGCGCTGGAGCGCTACGGGGTGGCACCGGAGGAGGAGGAGGGGGGCTACGTGCTGTGCGACGTGGTGGGGCGCTTCGAGGGGCCCGGTGGGGCCTGGCAGGCCGAGCACCTGCGCCCCGTGGGCGACACCGAGCGGCCCCTGGTGCTGCAGGACGTGTGGAAGCCCAAGGCCGGCCTGTCACGGCGCTTCGAGGTGCGGCGTCGGCGCGAGGTGGAGAGGGTTGGCGAGGCCGAGGATAACGAGACGGCGGGTGAGGCTGCAGTGGGGGCTGCCCCCATCCCCTGGGTTGTCCCAGGCCGGGAGCCACGGGACCCCCGGGCATGCTAGGCTGTGAGTCACGGGACCTCCGGGCATGCCAGGCTGGGAGTCATGGGACCCCTGGGTCATCCCAGGCCAGGAGCCACGGGACCCCCGGTCATCTCCCAGCCTGAAGCTACTGGGTCCCCCAGTCGTCTTCCGTCTCAGAGACATGCCCCCCCATCTTCCCGCAGCCAGGAGCCACGGGACCCTCCGTCGTCCCAAGTTCGGAGCCATGGGGCCCCCCAGTTATGTCCTGCCTCGGAGCTACAGGCACCGGGGCGGGGAGCCAGGCTGGGGATCCCTGAAAGCCCCGGAGTGGGGAGCCAGTCAGCCCCCTCTGAGGCTCCCCCTTCTCGCCCCCCAGGCATCAACGCCCAGGCACGGCGGCTGCAGAAGAGCCGCTCACGGGCGGCCTCGGGGGGGCCGGCCCCCAAGGAGCGGGCCGACAACCTGTCCCTGCGCCGCAGCATCAGCGACATGAACCTGAGCGCCCGCAAGCGGCGTGAGCGCAAGGCCGTGCTGAGCGTGGCGGGTGCCGAGGTGGGGCCGGCCGGCGAGGAGCAGGAGGAGGAGGTGGCCCCGGCCCAGGAGGCAGAGCCGGCGGACGGGGGCGCCAAGTCCGGGGAGGCCGAGGACTCGGCGGACGGGGCCAACCTGGAGCAGCTGTCCCAATGCCTGATCCAGCCCCCCACCCAGCACCCCTACTTCCTGCTGCTGCTCGGCTGCGACAAGCAGGTAGGGCAGGGGGCTCTGTGGGGCGCTGGGCTGCAGGGAGCAGGGCGGGGGGCTCAGCAGGGGGCGTTGTGCTGCAGGGGCGGGGGCTCTGTGGGGCGCTGGGCTGCAGGGAGCGGGGCGGGGGGCTCGAGCAGGGGGCGTTGTGCTGCGGGGGGCGGGGGGCTCAGTGGGGGGTGCCGGGCTCCGGGGGGCAAGGTGGGGGCTCGGCAGGGGGCACTGGGCTGCGGTGCGAGGTCAGTAGGGGGTGCTGACTCCAGCCCCCAGGACCATTTGCTCCCCACTATGGTCCAGCACAGAGCATGCTGGGAGCACAGCTTTCCCATAATGCTTTGCACTCTCTGGGTCAGCCTTGGGGGAGGGAAGGGTTGGTGGGAGTGCTCCAGGATGTGGGGAAGGGTGCAGTAATGGAAGAGCCCATTTTAACATAGAAAATAGGGGGCTTCCCAGAAGAGACCATTTTAACCAACAAAAATGGGGGTGCAATAGCAGGGTGGCCCATTTTCTCACAGAAACTGGGGGTGGGGCAAAAAGGGTAGAACCCATTTTACCATAGAGGGGATTCCTGGGAGAGCTCCCCCCTCCAAGAGTGGTGGGGTGCCACAGTGGGAGAGAGCCCATTCCCCTCCCCCCCAGAAGGCAGGGGTGGCATGGCGGGAGAGCCCATTCCCCCTAGAGGGCAGGGGTGGCATGGCGGGAGAGTCCATTCCCCCCCCCAGAGCGTAGGGGTGGCATGGCGGGAGAGCCCATTCCCCCCCAGAGGGCAGGGGTGGCATGGCGGGAGAGCCCATTCCCCCACAGAGGGCGGGGCAGGCCCGCTTCCGATGGCACGCCCATGTTTTGACGCCATTTTCCCCCCGTCACCCCCCAGGATTTTGTGATCTACGTGATGACCCGGCGCCGGCACGTCTTTGGGCGCCGCCCCCAGCCCGACAAGGGGGGCTACGTGGACACCTTCCTCTGCGCCCCGGACATCCTGCCCCGCCACTGCTGCGTGCGGGAGGCTGAGCCGGCCCCGGGGCCGGCCCTGGTGCGGCCCTTCCGGGGGGCGGCCGTCACCCTCAACGGGGGGGCCCTGGTGCGCGAGGCCGAGCTGCACCCCGGGGACCTGCTGGGGCTGGGCCAGCACTTCCTCTTCATGTACAAAGACCCCCGGACCCCCAGCCCCGGCCGGCCTGGCTGCCCCGGCCCTGGGTCTCGCCCGGGCTGGCGGGCGCCTTCTCGTGCCAGGCCTGTGGGCGCTCCCTCCAGGAGAGGCAGGACGCCTTCCAGGCCTACGTGGAGAGCCGGGAGCCCGAGCTGCGCTACCGGCCCCAGGAGGAGGAGGCGCTGCTGAGGGAGATCATCCGGCTCCAGGGGGCCACCGCCTTCAACCTGGCCCCGGCCTTCCTCCTGGGCCTGTGCCTGGAGCACTCCACCCGCGTGCTGGAGCCCAGCCACTTCCCCCGCCTGGTGGCCAGGATGGCCCAGCTGGTCAAGGAGGCCGTCTGGGTAACGAGAGGGGTGTGGGACGGGGGATCGGGGCTGGGGATCAGCAGGGGCGGACTAGCCACTGGGCCAATTGGGGGGCCCCTGGAAAAATGGGTGCCCCGACCCGCTCTGCCCACCCACCCAGCGCTCCTACTAGAGGTGTGGGGCTTGGAGTGCCGGGTGGGGGACCCCATGTCCCCAGCAGCAGCACATGGGGGTGGGGACGGACGGCAGGTAGAAGGGGTGGGGGAGGGGCCCCACTTGGTCTGGCCCAGGGACCCACAAAATCCCAATCCTCCCCTGGGGGTCAGGGACCCCTCCCAGAGTGGGGGAAAGGCTGAGGGAAGAATGGCTGGGGGCAGGGTCCCCTTTGTATCCCAGGGTGGGGGCAGAGCTGGGGGCCCCAAGTGTATCAGGGGGGCAGGGATGGGGGACTGTGACAGCAGCTCCAAGGCCTGTTCCGGATCAGCTCTTTCTTCCCTGCCAGGAGAAGATCAAGGAAGTTGGGGACCGGCAGCCGGAAAAGTGAGTGAGACCCCTGGACCCCGGTCACACCCCACCCTGGGCGTGGGGGCTCCCTGTCTCGCCCCCCTCTGTGGCAGGGGGCAGGGTAGGGGGTGCTCTGTCCTCAGACTCCAGCCCCACACCAGAGGGGTTCTATCTTAGTGCCGGGCGAGGGGACCCCAGATACACAGCCCCCACACCCACCCAAGAGGGGCCACGTCCCAACGCCAGGTGAGGGGTCCCCGTATACCCAGCCCCGCCCCACCCGAGGGGCCACATCCCAGCATTGAACAAGGGGTCCCCATATACCCAGCCCCTGCGCCCCACCCCAGAGGGGCAGTTAACCCCTTCACAGCTGAGTATGTCTCAGTGGAAGCTGCTAAGAACTGCCCGGGGTCCCAAAGGGCCTGGGGAGGGGGCAAGGTGTCCCAGCAGCTCCGATGATCCCCCAGTCGCTCCTCCCACCCCTCTCTCCCTCCCAGCCAGCAGGACAAAGGCCAGGTGGGGGCGCTCAGCATCGAAGAGGTGGCGGCCGACTTGCGCCCCCTGATGCTCTGGATGGCCAACGCCATGGAGCTGCTCAACCTGGTCCAGAAGAAAGTGCTGGACTTGGAGAAAGAACTCGACCTGGAGGGTGAGCAGGACGCCTGGGTTCTCTCCCCAGCTCTGGGAGGGGCGTGGGGGCTAGTGGTTAGAGCAGGGGGGGCTGGGAGCCAGGACGCCTGGATTCTCTCCCCTGTAGGGGCTGGTGGGGTGAATCCCACAGGGATGGGATGAGCTTGGCAGCGAGCGCAGCTCACAGAGCCCCACAGCCGGCCCCCTTTCTCCTCTCCAGGAAGTTCCCATGATGCTTTGCTGTCCAGCGACCTGGAGACCTGCGACGAGGCCATGGCGGTGCTGGACGAGGTCATCATGTCCACATTCCAGCAGTCGGTGTATTACCTGACCAAGGTGAGTTCAGCCCCCCTGCAGCCCAGCGCCCCCTAGTGCTGCCCTATGGCATTGGGGCCCGTCCTGCCTGCCCGGGGAGAGCGCCCCCTGCTGAATCCCCCGCTCCCTGCAGCCCAGCGCCCCCTAGTGCTGCCCTAGGGCATCGGGGCCAGTCCTGCCTGCCCAGGGAAAGCCCCCTGCTGAGCCCCCCCCCTCCCTGCAGCCCAGCGCCCCATAAAGCCCTGCTGGCTTATTGCGCCCATGCCTGGTGTTTAACCCTTTCCTTTCTGGGCAGACCCTGTACTCAGCCCTGCCCGCCCTGCTGGACAGTAACCCCTTCACTGCCACGGCGGACCTGTCCCATGCCCAGGAGCTGAGCACCATGCCCGAGGGCATCCGTGGCACCCTGGCCATCTACCAGGCCACGCTGGAGCTGACCCGGGAGTGTGAGCTACACCCCGACCTGGTATCCCAGACCTTCGGCTACCTCTTCTTCTTCTCCAATGCCTCCCTCTTCAACACTCTCATGGAGAGAGGTGAGTGGCTGGGTTCTCTCCTGCTCTGGGGGGGGAGTGGGGTCTAGTGGTTAGAGCAGGGGAGCTGGGAGCCAGGACTCCTGGATTCTCTCCCCGGCTCTGACAGAGGCTCCGTTCTCCTGAGCCAGACTCAGTGAATCACAGGCAGCCCAAAATCCCAGCTGCCCTCCCCCTGTTTCCTCCCATTGTCCCATCCCGGGAGCAGCAGGAAGGCAGCTCCTTCCTGCCCATGGGCCCCGGGCGGGCGGGGGCAGGGCAGGAAATGGGTCCTCCCCACCCCCACCGTGCCAGGAACCAAGGCAGGAGGGGAGGGGGCTCAGTCAGTGGGGGGCCAGGAACCACTGTGGGCTTGGGAACGGTTGATCCGGGGGAGGGGAATTGGGGGGGTTGCTGGGGCTACCCTAAATCCTGACTCTGGGGCAGGGCTCCCAGCTGTGTGTTTTCCCCCTTTCCCCCAGTCTCAGCCCCTGGCTCCCTGCCCCCCATCTCCTCCCCCCCCCGACCATCACACCCCCCACACATCACAGTCTGCTTCACCCCTGCCCCATCGTACTGCTCATGTCTCATGGTGGGTGAGTGGTCAGGACACGAGGAGGGGCAGGGGTGGATGGATGGATGCGGGGTTGGGAAGGTGGATGGATGGGAGGAAAGGCGGGGGGTGGCCAGGAGGGGAGGTGGGGGGACGGATGAGAGAGAAGGTTGGGGGGACGGCTGGGGGAAGGTGGGGGGACGGCTGGGGAGGAAGGCAGGGGGGTAGCTGGAAGGGAAGGTTGGGGGGACGGGTGGGAGGGAAGGGGGACACGCCTGGGAGGGGAGGCGGGGGGACGGATGAGAGGGAAGGCGGGGGGATGGCTGGGAGGAAAGGGGACAGGGATGGCAGGGAGGGGAGGTGGGGGGATGGACGGGAGGGAAGGTCGGGGGGATGGCCGGGGCGGAAAGCGGGGGGGGATGGGTGGGAGGGAAGGTGGGGGGACGCTCTGTAGGGGAGGTGAGGGACTGATGGGAGGGAAGGTCAGGAGGATGGCTGGGAGGGAAGGGGATGGGGATGGCCGGAGGGGAAGGTCGGGGGGATGGCCAGGAGGGGAGGCGGGGGATGGATGGGAGGGAAGGTCAGGGGGATGGATGGGAGGGAAGGCGGGGGACGCCCGGAAGGGGAGGCGGGGAATAGATGGGAGGGAAGGTCGGGGGACGCCCGGGAGAGGAGGTGGGGGGACGGATGGGAGGGAAGGTCGGGGGGACGCCTGGGAGGGGAGGCAGGGGGGCGGATGGGAGGGAAGGTCGGAGAGATGGCTGAGGGGGAAGGCGGGAGGACGGATGGGAGAGGAGGCGGGGGGATGGACCGGGGGGAAAAGGGGGGGACGGATGGGAGGGAAGGTCGCGGGGACGCCCGGGAGTTAAGATGGACGGATGGATGGATGGGTGAGTTGGAGAGTGGGTGGGTGGCTGGATCCTGCCCCAGCGCGGGGCCGAGGCCCAGCTGCCCTGGGGTCTCATCCAGCCCCACCCTGCTGTGACTGTGGGTCTCCTGCTTCCGTCGCCAGGCACCGGGGGGCCCTTCTACCAGTGGGCAAAGGCCGTGCAGATCCGCACCAACCTGGACCTGGTGCTGGACTGGCTGCAGGGCGTGGGGCTGGGCGACATCGCCGCCGAATTCTTCCGCAAGCTCTCCACCACCGCCAACCTGCTCTGCATCCCCAAGACCAGCCTGGTCAAGGTGAGGGGAGCCTGCAGGGGGCGCTGCGACCACAGCGCCAGTGGGGAATGGGGCACGGGGCCTGTCCCCTCTAAGGGGCACCAGCTCCCATCCGGCCCCAGGGTGGGGACTGGCTGGCTCGGGGGGCGGGGGGTGGCAGGGAATGTTCCCCTCTAGGGGGCGCCGGCGCCCATCCTCCTGCAGCTCCCAGGGATCTCACCGTCTCTCTGCCCCCCCAGGCTACCTGGTCCCGGCTGCGCAGCGACTACCCGGCCCTGACGCCCGCCCAGCTCCACCATGTGCTGAGCAACTACCACCTGGGGCTGGGCCGCCCGTACCCCGAGGGCTGGAACCCCCTGCCGGAGGAGAGGGAGGAGATGGTGAACAGTGAGTGCCGGTGCCCCTCACTCCCGACCCGCAGCCCCCGCCAGCCCAGCCCTGCCCCCCCGGCTGTGCCAGCGCCCCTCACTCCCGACCCGCAGCCCCCGCCAGCCCAGCCCTGCCCCCCGGTTCTGCCAGCGCCCCTCACTCCCGACCCGCAGCCCCCGCCA